AAGAGGAATTTCATAGCTTCAGGGACTCAATGCAGGCAGCCTTTTATTTAGCTATTTAGTTTTACTACAGTACTTACTAAACTACTTTTATTCAAGTTTTAGTATTTATCAGCCTTTTTCTGTACTTTTTAATTTACAAAATACAGTCAAAAGTCGTTAATTCGAACACAGATAATCCGGAATGATCTATAATCCGGATCTCAAAGCTAAAAAATTTCTGCGCATGCGTTGCATTGAAACATGCGCATAGGCGTTTACGTGTGCGCGTAAGACCTTTACGACTGTGCATATGCGTCTGCGAAAGCGCAGAATACGTTTTTGCGTGCGCGTTTAATGTATAACGGATGGTACAAGCTAAAATTATCTATTTCAGTTAATGTTGATGATTGCGTTGTTCCTTAATCTTCGAATTGGATGCGGCTTATTATATTTTGCAGACTGTAAGAGCAATGTTATAAAAGTAACTTGAACTTCGATTATGTCAAATAGAATTTCCGATGCTGGAGATCCCAAAGGATCTACAAAACAAAAGTATGTTTCGATGTCCATCAAACAAAAAGTGGAATTGCTGCAAAAAATGGATAAAGACATGAAGAAGGTGACAGAGAGGTTAGTGAAAACGAAAAAATTTCGATTGACAAGTTAGTCGGTATTTCTCGGCACAGCAATTACGGGACTTGAACAGCGGAACTTTGTAACTGAAGAAGAAATTATGTCTGTTTATAGAATTAAAGAGAATTTATTATCATGTAAAAAACGAAGCAACTTAAACAACTTACATTGAAAGAAATGTTTAATAAAGTAAACAAATAAATATTAAGCTTTTTTTTTTGTAAATTTGGATACCCTTTAGATCATAATTGTTCTTAATTTCATAAATTACGGTTTCATATTTTTAATTTTAGAATTTCTGATGCCATCTTACGAGATTTAAACTGATGATCTATAATCCGGAAAAATCGATAATCCGGAATCGCTGAAGTCCCGGCGAGTCCGGATTAACGACTTTTGACTGTACATTAAAAAATAACCTAAATTTAAATAATTGTAATATGTATCCAACTCTGCAAAGGAAAGGGGGTAAGGTTGTTTAGCAGTGGTGAAAGAAGTGCATGAGGCAAAAAAGGCCCCCGATGTATATTTTTTTATTCTTACAATTTTTAAGTGTCCAAAATTAATAAAAAAAATTACTTCCTTTAAGATTCAAGTCTATGTTTCCTATTTAAACAACGCACATTTTTATTTGATAGCATAAAATATTTTAGTATTCTATTTTACTTTATTCAAATATTTTATTAAATTTAATAAGTATATATAAAATTCTGCAGCCCGTATTTTGTAAAACATTAATTCACACTAACTATTCCTTTTCTTATTTGCTTTTCTCTATATTTTTCTACCAAATCTACTCAAAAGCAGAGATACCAAAATTTCTGCATATAATTACAATAAGACTTCCTTAAGTTTGTTTGAAGAGCCCCTATTTATTCCTTCACATTTATGGCTGAAGTTTTGCTAATATATCTTAAAATTTGACTTCTTTTCTCAATGAATATCTTGCTTAAAATTAACATTAATATCAATTTCAAAATGGCTTACATCTTACTTGGCTATGCCACAAAACATACATTAACATTTTTGTCTCTAATTAAGACACTATAACACGCCAAACAAATACTAATTCAGAAGACAAACAACAAAAATCAGCATTATATTTTCAAAATTTTCACAGGACTAGTTTCGATGGTTTTACCGAACCACAATCCTCAGCTGCAAAACTGCAAAATCACACTTTCAATTTTTCTGCTCCCAAAATTATTCAAAAAACATCTTACATTGGAAAACTGGATTTGGTAAAAGTTTACAATTGGGTGCCCCTTGTTTTTTGGTGATTCTTTTTTTGACGCCAAGATCAGTGCCAGGAAGGCACAATTTCAAGGTGGCTGCTACACAAAACCAAAATAAGTCAAAGAACTGCAAAAACTGTGTGTCCATGTACACATCAATCTGTTTTCACTTAAAAAAGGAAAAAAAAAAAAAAAAAAAAAAATCACAGAATTGCACAAAATAGGCATTGCACACTGCCTTAAATTTGTCCATGTACACATCAATCTATTATCATTTTTAAAAAAAAATCAAGAAGCTAAAACAAAGTTAAAACCATCATGTTAACCAGAAATGAGGTTTTATCGCGAAAATTAAAATAAACATTTGTCGCTAATCGAAGGGGCACACAATTCTACACTACAGCCCTGGATTTTCTAAAGGCATTCATATTCAAAAAAATCTTTCTGTTCTGGTTAACGATCCTAATTCCAATCCATCTTTGCCTTTGCCCTTTAAAGAAATTATGTTTCAGTTCTGGTTTCACGAACAGATGGCACCACTTGCTTACTCTTGTCCAGGCTATCTTATCTAATCATTATTTCCTATCTTGTTCATTTGTGGTTTTGCAGCTGAGGATGGTGGTTCAGTAAAACCATCGAAACTAGTCCTGTGAAAATTTTGAAAATATAACACTGATTTTTGTTGTTTGTCTTCTGAATTAGTATTTTTGTCTCTTCATAACTATAAGAACTAAGCTTTTCAAACATTAAAAGAGATCCCGCAATATTCCATTTATTCTGGAAGGTTTATTTGCAATTACTTAACAGTGGTGGCCAAAATTGTGGACACTTTTGGAAATTTTTGTTTTTGAACTTTGTATGCTTATAGAAAATGTTACGTTTCGCAAAATGCAAACTTGTATATATCCATTTTAAAGAGAATTTATTACTGAATTCAATACAAAACACAAAATTCAATTATTTGCAATACAAAAAAGTTATATGTACTTTAATATAAATAAAAAAACACAGTTATGAAGTGGTTTGTAATGTCTAGCTTTCCTGGCCAATCACTGTTCTTGTTCTGAGAACCAATCAAATGTTAGTAACTGCCAGTAGAAGCTGACATCATGTTTACACTTGAAATAATTCATTATTTTGCTTTGTTCTGTAGAAGGAGGACCTGTTTCTTATACACTGCAATTACAAGTAGGAAGTTTTATAAAAATTTTTAATATTTAGTCAAGAAGCAATGACATCAAATAAAAGAGTAGATTGGACACCTAGAAAGAGATGTAATATTATTGTGTTACGAGAAAGTGGTCTTTCCTATGCTGAAATTGCAAGACAGGTGGGTGGTTCAGTCACTACATCTGGAGTGCGAAAGTTTTGTTTACGATATCAGGAGACAAATTCAATAAAAAACAAAGAAGGAGAAGGACGAAAAAGGTGCACCACATTTATTGATGACAGAAGAATAAAAAGACTATGTCTCCAAGATAGAAAAATGTCATCAGCGGCCATCAGAAGTGATCTGAATGATGCTGGTGTTTCTGTCAGTTCAAGAACAATCAGGAGAAGATTAACAGATGTTGCACTGAGAGGTAGAATTCCACGAAAAAAGCCTTATCTTAATTTTCAGCAATGAAAAAAAAAAAAAGACTACAATGGGCAAAGGAACACATTAATTGGACAGATGATCAGTGGTCACAAGTTATATGGAGTGATGAAACTAAGATATCGTTATTCGGTAGTGATGGGCGAAAATATGTAAGACGTAGAATAGGAGCAGAGTTACATCGTGACTGCATTCAAGCAACTGTAAAGAACCCAGTTAGTGTTATGATTTGGTCATGCATGTCAGCAGATGGTATTGGTCACCTTCATGTAATCGATGGCACACTGAATTCCAGAAAATACATTGACACTATTCTAGAACCAAAACTTCTACCTTCCATCAGAAATCTCTTTCCCAACAATGCTTCATTTATTTTTCAGCGGGATTCTGCTCCTTGACACATGGCCAAAATATCGAAAGAGTGGTTTCATACAAAAAGCATTAAATTGTTGTCATGACCAGGAAACAGTCCTGACCTCAATCCTATCGAAAATTTGTGGCACCGTTTGAAAACTCTTGTCCAAATAAGGCGTCCATCAAATAAAAGGGAACTAATTGAGGCTACAATTGTTTCCTGGCATCATGTAATAATGAAAAAAGAGCTTAAAACTCTTGTCAGCTCAATGAAACGTCGATGTGAAGCTGTAATCAAAAATAAAGGGTACCCTACTAAATACTGATAACTCACTGCAATCATCACTATTTAATGTATATCAATAACTATTATCGTTTAACTTTTTTTTGTATTGCAAATAACTGAATGTTGTGTTTTGTATTGAATTCAGTAATAAATTCTCTTTAAAATGATATATACAAGTCTGCATTTTGTGAAACGTAACGTTTTCTATAAGCATACAAAGTTCAAAAACATAAAAATTTCCAAAAGTGTCCACAATTTTGGCCACCACTGTATATACTTTCTTGTTAAACTACGAGTAGCACCTCAGTCATATGTAACAAAAACCCACCTAAATACAACCTCAGGAAAAGTGATTTCAAAATGTGTAACTAAAATAAATATATTTAGAAATACGCACTTTGATTTTAACAAATTTCAAGGTAAAAGTTTACAATTGGGTGCCCCTTGTTTTTTGGCGATTCTTTTTTTGATGCCAAGATCGGCACCAGGAAGGTACAATTTCTTGATGGTCGCTACACAAAACCAAAATAAGAGGTCAAAGAATTGCACAAACTCTGTGTCCATGTACACATCGATCTGTTTTCACTTAAAAAAATATCCTAGAATTGCACAAACTAGGCATTGCTCACTGCCTTGAATTTGTCCATGTACACATAAATTCATTTTCATTTAAATAAAATCAGGAAGCTAAAACAGAGTTAAAACTATCATGGTAACCAGAAATGAGGTTTCATCGCCAAAATTTAAAAAAAAAATTGTCGCTAATCGAAAGGCACCCAATTCTACACTAGAACCAATTTCACACATATCATATATTAAGTAGCATACCATTAAAGGAAACTCGAATATACATTAATACTAAACATAAGGGTGAAAATACAAATTTCTATAAAAGTTTTTAACAACCAAAACTTACATTTTAATCCTAAAATTACAATTCATGTTACAACTATACACATAATTAAACCGCTGGTTAGGTCGCTCTGGAGCTAACATTTTTTTTTCTGTATTATTAAATAAATTTATTGACCTATAAACAATCGTATAAAAGAATATTTCGGTTAAATTTCATTCAAGTCTTATAGCCCTTAATAACTATCCACATGGTAAACAGCTCTCATGAAGTTAAAAAGACAATTATTAGGAGATAAATTAATAATTTACTGCTCGAAATAACAATACTTCGAGGAAGTAGGATCAAACGCGTTAACTTAAATTGTCAACAAGCGTAGCATTGCCAGATCAAGAAATAGAAACCAAAAAGACAGACGTCTTGTTTTGCACCCACTAAGTCTTTCTCCACGGAAGAGCGAAAAATCAAGCTTAGGGGCAAAGCACGAAGTATAATAATGCAGCACCGAGTCTCCGTGACTGCTGCGTATGCGTTGCACACACACACAGATAGTATTTTTATTCTCGAGTGTCAAGATGTAGAAACATCTTTTTACTCGGCTTCTGATAAAGATCGGGTGGGGGAGAAAGAGAAGGGTGAAAGGAGTGTTGGAGGCGGATGAAAGAGAGTGAGGTCCACACTAGAGGCGGCGAAAAAAGGGGGGATGTCGAGTTCAGTGTCGTTATAAGATGTAGCCGCGGGTGGTAAAACCGCAGAGTTCAGTTTAGCGTGAATGAGTCATTTAAGGTTGCGACTCTTATGTGGGAAGGATGTCACATGGGTAACGATGTTTTTGTCTGGGACGCGGGGAGTGTCTGAGAGTGCTAATAAGGCTAGTACTGGGTTTGTACTGAATAAAAGAAGTTGACCGCTAATCGTTTAATATACTCTTGAATAAGTTCGATTCGAAGGTCTCTGTGGATATAGATGTTGGGAATATACCAAGGAGCATTGATAATTTCTCGTAGAATTTTATTTTGTAGAATTTGTAATTGTTTAATATTGGTTTTAGCTGCATGTCCCCAGATCGGTGCTGCATACAGGAGATCCGGGCGCAGTATGGAGCGATATAGAATTAATTTGTTTGTAGTAGATAAATTGCTTTCTCTACCAAGAGCATAGTAGCTGTGGTGATTTTAAATTTTTGTACTAGGGACCGGAAATGGGTTCTGAAGGTAAGTTTTTGGTTAAGGGTGACTCCAAGGTATTTGGTTTCATTAATCCAGTCTCTTTCTTTGACAAATATTTCAGGGGGTGGAGGATAGTATTTCATGTTTCCTTTACGGAAAATTATTGCCTTAGTTTTATCAGTGTTCATTTTAATCCTCCAAAGGGTAAGCCATTTTTCCAGTTTTATGAGAGAGTTTTGGAGTTGGTTTTTTACGGCGATAACTGTGCAGGCTTTAGTAAGTATGGCGGTAACATCGGCAAAGAGTGCAAGATGAACAGAAGGGTCTTTAGGGATGTCTTGTGTATGTACGGCGAAAGTGCCGACCCCTGTGGGACACCAGCATTGATAACTCTGGTGGTAGAGTAAGCAGTACCGAATTTGATTCTGAATGTTCTGTTGCTGAGAAAAGAGGCTATTAAGCGAATAAAATGATCTGGAAAATTGAGAGTAATTAGTTTGTAAATAAGGCCTCGATGCCATACCCTGTGAAAAGCTTTCGCGATATCGAGAAATATAGCACCAGCCGGAAGCTTGCAGTTGTAGCCTTCAGTGATAATGTTGATAACTAAGAAGTTAGTGGCAAGTGCTATGATGATTACGAAAACTGAATTGTTCTTCTGGGGAGAAAATTCATGGAAGGGTGAATTTTTTGGATGTGGAAAAGTATGATTTTCTCAGTAACTTTAGACAGGTGGCTAAGTAAACTGATAGGGCGATAGTTCTGTAGGAGAGTTGGATTTTGTTGCGGTTTAGCAAAAACAATTATTATAGCTTGCTTCCATGAGTTAGGAAAAATGAGCGAATTTGATAATGTTGTTGATTATCTTAGTTAGGCAGGTAAGAGAGTTGATCGGAAGATGTTTCAGTGCTTTGGTCGAGATGCCATCGTGCCCTGGGGCTTTCTTCGTTTGTAAGACGCTGATGGTGTTGGCAACGATTGTTGGGGTAGTCAGGAAAGTGAAGTTGTACGGAGCAGGGGTATTAAGAAAGTTATTGACCACCTGGTTGACCCGTTCAATATGGTTATTGTCGTACGGAGTGGGATTAAGAGTGATTGTATCTTCCATATAATCCGCAAAAGATTTAGCTTTATCTTCTTCTGTATATGAAATTCCACTAGGTCCATGGATAGGTGGAATAGGTTTATAAGGTTTCTTGAATTTGCGGGAAATGTCAAATAGGGAATTGTCCTCCTCTATAGCTAGGTTATTTAGGAAATTGGTCCATTTTTGGTTTTTGAAAGTTCTTGATTCTTCTGTTGATTTCTTTTTGCATAGAGTTTAGTTCGTGTTTGAGTTGTGGATCCCTGGTGGTTTGCCATCTTTTACGGATCCCGTTTTTCTCTTTAATACTATTTCTTATATCGGCAGGCAGGGGAAGGAAAGGCTTGTTCACATAAAAAGTATTGGTGGCTTCCTTTAACCCTTTGAGGGGCGGTATATAAAATAAATTAAACTGTGGTAAAATTTTGCATGAACTATAACTTATGGACCCTAAGGATACAAAATTGAGACTTAAAAAAAATCTAGAGCGAAATCCTGAATTTTGAGAGCCGGTGTATATTTTATACCGTAGGACATTTTTTTCCAGGTAGCTGCCAACTGTTAATCTTGTTTTTAAAATTAATTTTGGGTACTTTTGATGTGCGTCTGTAGTGATGAGTGCTTGAATATAGTTATGTAAGTCTAAAGACAAATTTTTTTTTAAATTTTGGCAGAAATTTTAAATTTTAAAAATAAAATTTATATTTTTTATGCACTTTGATGACGCAACCCAGCTGAACATACTTATGTAAAATATGGGTAAAAAGCTTTTCAACTTGATTCAAATTCTATATTATTTTATAAAAAAAATTTATCAAATATAACACTGCATGTGTAAATCGTATCATGCTGTAACTGAACTAGTATAATATTACAAGCAGATGTAACTCAGCCGAAAATAAAAAAAATTGAAAAATGAAGCACTACGCCCGACTCAGCTGAGAAAGTATGTTGCATTTTTGAAGTTGTATTTTATACTTTAGATAATATGTGAAAAAACAACCATGCTTCCTACTATGATACGAAGAATCGACCCCCCTCCACGCACACACACTTTAGATCATCAAGGACCGTAAGGGTCCCTTTTTTATTTTTTGTAATATTGTTGTAATGTTCTTTTTGTTCAGGAAGAAACGCCGTTAAAAAATTTATTATTTGATACACCTCAAA